GGTGGTGGGGCTGACGGTGGTGGTAGGAGGTGGGGAGGTGGTGGGAGGTGGGGTGGTGGCGGGGCTGATGGTGGTGGGTGTAAGTGGCAGTGGTGAGGCTGGTGGTGGTGGTTTCTTGTGGATAATATTTGAGGCCAAGGGTATTTTAGTCTTTTTAACCCATTAGTCAAGCCACCTTAAAAATGAAGAAAAGTCAAAATTTGAACATCATTCCCGGACGGAGAGAGTAATATAAGTTTTTATTTACTAAGTTTAATTAATTAGTGTTTGTTTATAATTTATAAATATACGTTTTTATACTTTATTCTTTTATATACTTAAGTATGTGTTTTATGTTTTTAAGTTATATTATAAGTTCTTTGTTTATATAAGTTATATTTATAAGTTTTTATATTTATTTCGTTATAAGTTTTTTTATAAGTTTTATATGTCTTATCATATGTGTAGTAGTTAGTTTGTTTTATTTAGTGACAATGTGTTTGTATACTAAATTAGTTTTTAAAAAAGTACAACATTTCTCTGTAGGATCGACCCTTACTTCCCCCAGCTATAGTTTTTATTTGGTTATATCTTGGGAATTAGGTAAGGATATTTTATAAATTTTAAATTTGTTTTGGACCGCACGACATGTCCTCAACAGCTTGCCATGGCATGCTGGTAATGATCATTTTGGTTTAACTCTAGGCCAAGAATGATACACATCGGTCTTGCACATATTTTCTCGTAAGTCTGAACCCAATCTAATTTGGTACACCAATATCTCAACCAAGCTCATATCAGGGAGCCTTTTATTTGAGGCAATCTGAAGACGGTCCCTACATGACGTGATGATACTTGCATCAGTTAGCTGTGTTAACATCAATCTTCACCAAAGCTACTGCAACATACTAAATTCTTGTTAAATAGCATTGATCTCTTTGATATTCAATTATTGCTATGCACCGTCAACTTAATTCGTACTAACGCTAGTCTCAGCAAAATAATAACTTTTTGAGGTATCGTTGCTTCATCATACTAATTGTTGTCTCATCAAAATAACTATAATAAGCATCGTTGCATATCGAACTAACATCAATCTCGTTACGAAGATTATCCACACGTGTTTTATGTGTTTTAGCACTGAGCTTGTCGAAAAAAATAATACTTATTATGTTTGTGCACGACACTGATTGGTCTAAGTATCGTGCATATTACTTTTGCAGGAAAAACATGTAATTCAAAATTAGAAAGTTAATGAAAAACTCGGATAACTAGCAATTTCAACCGGTCGAGAATGCAACAGATGAAGACTAAACATAACACTTGGAGGACTTATTTAATTTCTTAAGTTGATGATATTCACAACTTAAAAAAGTGAAGAACTTCTTGATGTGAAATAATACGTGGTCCGGCCCACATTTTCCAATTATTATTAAAGAACAGTTAAAACGAGCTGGTTTATTAAAAGGGAGAATAAAAGAATATTCCTCTAACAAATAAGGGAGGCCAATTCTACTCTCCACCACACTCTTTCTCATGCAAGTTATTCTCCCATAGTTAGCTTGCTCATATTTTTTCTTCAGAGAAGCTTATAAGGCTCCATTAATGGCTTCTAAACTAAAATAATGTACCGTATATAATCCCGGTGTTAATAAAAATCTTGCGTTGGCAAGGTACTGCCAAAAAGGCACGTGGTTTTCTCCCGATTCGGTTTCCACGTCAAAATCCTTGTATTTGTATTTTGGTGTATTTTGTTAGACTAGTTTATCATTATTGCCCAGCTAAGAACGATATTTCGGTCGGGATAGTTTATAACATCACGGGTCAAGCGATCAAGAAGATCATGGTTAAAATAAATAGAGCAAAGCGTACAATGGTATAACCAGCAGTGGCGGATCCAGGATTGTGAATGACTGGGGGCAGTATAGCAAAGCGGGGGTTCGGGGGCAGAGCCCCCGATTTTTTTTAAAAATGTACTTTATATCATGATGAAAAAATTAATTTTATATCAAACAAATTTAAAATAAGAAAAACTAAATATTTTAAAATTAGTAAAATTATACTCCATCCGTCCCAATTTAATTTATAGCCCATCTTTCGGTTTACAATGTTTGACTGAAACATCATGGCCACGCGGTTGACATGGTCCTCTAGTCAAATATTTTCATCTCTTTGATTAGGGTGATACTCTAAAATCTTTTTTCTTTCTGAAGGATCCCACGGAAGATCACTTAAATCTATTTCTTTAGCTATTGAAAGTACAGATGGTCCAGAATCACGTGTTGTCGGTGTTGAGGGGGACTTCCGTTTAAAAAACTTCTCCATTATCTAAAAACATAAAATGAAATATACTTTTTTACTAAATCTATGTCCAAAAATTAGAGAAAATTATTTAAATATATCAATTGAGAATTAATATATTTTTAGAGACTAGAGTCATCAATTCATTATTCATATGTTATGGGACAATTATAAATTATAATTAATAATAATCAACAATTCAACATAATAAACAATTTCATCAAATAGAAAATTGAGATATAAAAACAAATTACTCAAAAGGTTTCACACAATCACACCAATCACACATTACACATAAATCTAATTTTCACATTTATCTAATTATTTAGTTCATAATTTAAAAAGGAAACAAAATTATTTGGAAATACCTAGTGGCTGGTGCTCGACTGTTGGCGACGCGGCGGACAGTTGACGGCGGACGGGCGACGGCGACGCGGCGGAATGTTCCGGCTGTTCGGCAGATTCGGTCTTCT